TTATGGCGTCAATGGTTTGGTCGCCGGTCGACGTCAAGTCGGCTGTGGATCGACTGCCGGCCGACGCATTGGTCATCGATATCTCAGGTCAGCGCGATTTGAGACACGTTGTGCTCAAAGACAGGCCTCAGGCTAAGTATATTAGTTGCACACGAGTTGGGTCCACAATAGCCAACCAATCGGTGGCAGCTAATGGTTTGCAACATTTTATGGAAGATCTTGGTCATTTATATACCGCTAACCATATGATTTCTATATGATTATTCTATTAAAATTATTCTATTAAAACCATGTAATGTGAGACCTTATATAATCCAGATAATAAACATATAAATCTTATAATTGTGAATCAATCATTATAATATGTTGATAATTTAGATATAATGTATCCTAGTTGAGCTATTAATACTATTTTACTTAAATACATTATACTGATCGTAAGTATACTGAAATACAATATTGATTAATAAAAATTAGTAAATTACTGTAAATACAATACTAATTAATAATTATTAAAGATTAGTAAATTACTTTACATACAATACTGCATACTATATGCGACCCATGTTTTGGAAAATACATAAAGCTTTTAAATTTTATTGCAAGAATACTCATTGTATTCGTATTTTAGGACTATGAAATATTTTGACAATAATTAGTTTGATTAAAAGTTTTAAATTCGTTTAATCTATTTTTATACAAAGTTGAGAAAAAGTAAGTTTTAATTTAACATTATTTCTATATAGAGAAAACTGTTTTTATTTATCTTTGAACTAACAATTTATTACAAAAATAGCCCGGATTAATAATTATTTTGATGTATGGTTTGAATGTCTAGACTTAATACTTTTCATACAAACATGAATTGCAATAAATGGCAAATAAATCGCAAGTAATGGAAAAACACAATATATGAAACTTTACAAAATTCAATATAATATTGACATTTAATAAAATTTTTTAATTAATATTGAAACATTTAATTCATATCAAAATGGATTTCAATGAAAAAGTGGCACTTATTTTGGGTTAACTCAACAACAATTACATTACTATTAAATTAAATTATATTTATATTTAATAATCTCTACATTTAAGGCTCGTCTTCGGGTATCGGCGAAGCGATTGCCATAAAGTTGTGGTCTTTGGGCGCGAATGTAGTCATCACTGGAAGGGATGAGAAACGTATCGGAGAAGTAGTGAACAAATGTCAGCCGCGGGTCAATCAGCGAACGCTTGGAGTTAGAGCCGACGTATTGGTGGACAAGGATTGCGAGCAATTGGTGGCGCAGACTATCGCCGAGTTCGGCAAAATTGATATTCTGGTCAACAATTTTGGCGGCGGAGAAGGAATTGGTGCTAAATTTGGTGAACATGTCCAGGGCACATTTGGCCATACTGTGGAGCATCATTTTAGA